GGACCAGTCCAGAGAGGAAATAAACCCTGACTGGCAAGAAGGGCCAGCCTCCTCCACAGGCGTCAGCTGGGGTGAGTGGGGGAGGCAGGAGCCCCTGTCCTTCGAGAGCCCCCCACAGCCAAGGCAGCACCCAGCGGCAGAGAGGTGTGCGCAGGGTCATCGGGTGTGCTGCGGGACCGGCCTCCAGCCTCGGACTGGGAGCTTCAGCACAACTGCTGCACGCAGAAGGGAGCGGGACCCCCCCTGCGCAGCACAGAGATCCCCCCTCGCCCTGCTGACGGCCCTGTCTGGGCCCCTAGCAGCTCCCGCTTTGCTGAGGGAGCCATGGTCTCCTGCAGGGAAGGGTTCAGTCGGGACCACCCAGCCCTGCCATGATCCCAAGGGGCTCAGAGGGTGAGTTTGACCCACAGAGACCACAACATCACCACCAGACCCTCGCCAACTGACGGCCAGGTTTTGAAATTCTCATAGTTCTCCATCGCATGACAATTTAAGAACAGACCCCTTTCAATAAAGCATTGCTCACCCTTTGTCTACAAAAAGGCATTTACGATCCCAGCCCTGCAGCATGGAAAGTCTCCGGGGCCAGGAGGGGCTGCAGGACAGAGCTATCCACGGGGACACCTGAAGCCGAGCGTTAAGTTATCCTCTGACTTCTGAGAAGGAATTCTCCAGATCAGAGGAACGTCCTAGCACGATCCACAAAGAGCCCAGCACTAAGGCTGGCTCTTAGCAGTGAGAGCTCCCTCTGTGACAGCAGTTGTAGAGGAAGGGAGCGGCGGGAAAGAGATGCCCCAACCTTCCCGCCGCCAGGAGGGTCTGGACCAAATGAGGTCTTGGCCTCTGAGAACCCCCTCTCCTTAAACCAAGGGCTGCCAGCCCCTTACAGCCCCTTCTCAGCCTCTTCCGCCTGATGGGAGCCAGGGGGATCCGGCCCAAAGCAATGAAGGACCCTCTGGAAGCCCCTCAAAAGCGCATGCTCGGGGGGAGCTGCTGCAGCTGCTCGTGCAGAGCTGGAGCCCGGAGGAGCAAGCACCAGGCAGCGACTGGGGGGCACAGAGACCCCGCCTCCGCCCTCCACCCCGCTGCAGCCAGAGCTGGACAACACCGTGCTTCCGCAGGGGGGCAAAGCCAAGTGGGCGAGGGCTGGGGGGCGCGCACCTGCTGGGAGACATGTGCCTGCACTCCTGGAAGCGGCCATCCAGCTGCGCCAGCATCTCCTGGCACTCCGTGTAGGAGAAGGGGTAGCAGAAGGCAAAGTAGGTGGTGGCGCCGCGGTGCTCCAGGAAGCGGTGCACGAAGGACAGCACAAACTGCGTCTCCACCATCTGGGAAGTGGGCGAGGGCTGGGGGGCGCGCACCTGCTGGGAGACATGTGCCTGCACTCCTGGAAGCGGCCATCCAGCTGCGCCAGCATCTCCTGGCACTCCGTGTAGGAGAAGGGGTAGCAGAAGGCAAAGTAGGTGGTGGCGCCGCGGTGCTCCAGGAAGCGGTGCACGAAGGACAGCACAAACTGCGTCTCCACCATCTGGGACAGAGACAAAGCAGAGGCTGAGTGGAGGCACGGCCCCAGGGGCAGCCGGCCAAAGCCATACGGAGCCACGTCCCGGGCACAGGGCAGGCGGCCGCCGCAGGCCCCGGCAGGTCTCCTCCGGCACTGCCACGCCGGGTCCCTCA